GCAGTCTGGGCCGGGTCTGGGAAAATTTGGATTTTTGCAAAAAAGTTTTGGCAAGGTCTTGGCCGACCCCCAAAATCTCCCCCAATTTTCCCCGAGTCCGCAAATCTCCGCGCTCCGGGGCGATTTCGCCAAGCCTCCCAACCCTCCGGAGTTTTTCGTTTTTTTTTTTCCGCGGGGGTTTCGCCGAGCTCGCAAAAGGTTTCGCGAGTCTCCGCCGTTCCCCCCAGCCTCGCCCCGGCCTGGGGCGAGCCTCCGCGGAGTCTCCGCCCCGAGTCTCCCCCCCGAGTCTCCCCCCCGAGCCCCCCCCGAGTCTCCCCCCCGAGTCTCCCCCCCGAGTCTCCCCCCGAGTCTCCGCCCCGAGTCTCCGCCCCCCCGAGTCTCCCCCCCGAGTCTCCCCCCCGAGTCTCCGCCGAGTCTCCGCCGAGTCTCCGCCCCGAGTCTCCGCCCCGAGTCTCCCCCCCGAGTCCCCGCCCCGAGTCTCCGCCCCGAGTCTCCCCCGAGTCTCCGCCCCGAGTCTCCCCCCCGAGTCTCCCCCCCGTCTCCCCCCCGATCTCCGCCCCGAGTCTCCGCCCCGAGTCTCCGCCCCGAGTCTCCGCCCCGAGTCTCCGCCCCGAGTCTCCGCCCCGAGTCTCCGCCCCGAGTCTCCGCCCCGAGTCTCCGCCCCGAGTCTCCGCCCCCGGAGTCTCCGCCCCCGGAGTCCCGCCCCGAGTCTCCGCCGAGTCTCCGCCGAGTCTCCGCCCCCGGAGTCTCCGCCGAGTCTCCGCCGAGTCCCGCCGAGTCTCCGCCGAGTCTCCGCCGAGTCTCCGCCGAGTCTCCGCCGAGTCTCCGCCCCGAGTCTCCGCCCCGAGTCTCCGCCGAGTCTCCGCCGAGTCTCCGCCCCGAGTCTCCGCCGAGTCTCCGCCGAGTCTCCGCCGAGTCTCCGCCGAGTCTCCGCCGACTCCCCGAGTCTCCGCCGAGTCTCCGCCGAGTCTCCGCCGAGTCTCCGCCCCGAGTCTCCCCCCGAGTCTCCGCCGAGTCTCCGCCGAGTCTCCCCCCCGAGTCTCCGCCGAGTCTCCGCCGAGCTCCGCGAGCTCCGCCGAGTCTCCGCCGAGTCTCCCCGAGTCTCCCCCCCGAGTCTCCCCCCCGAGTCTCCGCCGAGTCCCGCCGAGTCTCCCCCCGAGTCTCCGCCGAGTCTCCGCCCGAGTCTCCGCCCCGAGTCTCCGCCCCGAGTCTCCCCCCCGAGTCTCCCCCCCGAGTCTCCGCCCCGAGTCTCCGCCCCGAGTCTCCGCCCCGAGTCTCCGCCCCGAGTCTCCGCCCCGAGTCTCCGCCCGAGTCTCCGCCCCGAGTCTCCCCCCCGAGTCTCCCCCCCGAGTCTCCGCCCCGAGTCTCCGCCCCGAGTCTCCGCCCCGAGTCTCCGCCCGAGTCTCCGCCCCGAGTCTCCGCCCCGAGTCTCCGCCCCGAGTCTCCGCCCCGAGTCTCCCCCCCGAGTCCCGCCCGGTTCCGCCCCGAGTCTCCCCCGAGTCTCCGCCGAGTCTCCGCCGAGTCTCCGCCGAGTCTCCGCCGAGTCTCCGCCGAGTCTCCGCCGAGTCTCCGCCCCGAGTCTCCGCCCCGAGTTTTCCCCGAGTCTTCACCCTGAACTCTCCGCCCCAAGGTTGTCCCCCGAGTCTCCGCGAGTCTCCGCTCTCCGCGAGTCTCCGCCCGAGTCTCCGCCGAGTCTCCGCCGAGTCTCCGCGAGTCTCCGCCCCGAGTCCCGCCGAGGTCTCCGCCGCGTCTCCGCCGAGTCTCCGCCGAGTCTCCGCCGAGTCTCCGCCGAGTCTCCGCCGGAGTCTCCCCCCCGAGTCTCCGCGAGTCTCCGCCCCGAGTCTCCGCCCCGAGTCTCCGCCGAGTCTCCGCCCGAGTCTCCGCCCCGAGTCTCCGCCGAGTCTCCGCCGAGTCTCCGCCGAGTCTCCGCCGAGTCTCCCCCCCGAGTCTCCGCCGAGTCTCCGCCGAGTCTCCGCCGAGTCTCCGCCGAGTCCCCCCCCGAGTCTCCGCCGAGTCTCCGCCGAGTCTCGCCGAGTCTCCGCCGAGTCTCCCCCCCGAGTCTCCGCCCCGAGTCTCCGCCCCGAGTCTCCGCCCCGAGTCTCCGCCCCGAGTCTCCGCCCCGAGTCTCCGCCCCGAGTCTCCGCCCCGAGTCTCCGCCCCGAGTCTCCGCCCCGAGTCTCCGCCCCGAGTCTCCGCCCGAGTCTCCGCCCGATCTCCGCCCCGAGTCTCCGCCCGAGTCTCCGCCCGAGTCTCCGCCCCGAGTCTCCGCCGAGTCTCCGCCCGAGTCTCCGCCGAGTCTCCGCCCCGAGTCTCCCCCCCGAGTCTCCGCCGAGTCTCCGCCGAGTCTCCGCCGAGTCTCCGCCGAGTCTCCGCCGAGTCTCCGCCGAGTCTCCGCCGAGTCTCCGCCGAGTCTCCGCCGAGTCTCCGCCCCGAGTCTCCGCCGAGTCTCCGCCGAGTCTCCGCCCCGAGTCTCCGCCGAGTCTCCGCCGAGTCTCCGCCGAGTCTCCGCCGAGTCTCCGCCGAGTCTCCGCCGAGTCTCCGCCGAGTCTCCGCCGAGTCTCCCCCCCGAGTCTCCGCCGAGTCTCCGCCGAGTCTCCGCCGAGTCTCCGCCGAGTCTCCCCCCGAGTCTCCGCCGAGTCTCCCCCCGAGTCTCCGCCGAGTCTCCGCCGAGTCTCCGCCGAGTCTCCGCCGAGTCTCCGCCGAGTCTCCCCGAGTCTCCGCCGAGTCTCCGCCGAGTCTCCGCCGAGTCTCCGCCGAGTCTCCGCCGAGTCTCCGCCGAGTCTCCCCCGAGTCTCCGCCCGAGTCTCCGCCCGAGTCTCCGCCGATTTCCCCCGAGTCTCCGCCGAGTCTCCGCCCCGAGTCTCCCCCCCGAGTCTCCCCCCCGAGTCTCCCCCCCGGTCTCCCCCCCGAGTCTCCCCCCCGAGTCTCCGCCCCGAGTCTCCGCCCCGAGTCTCCCCCCCGAGTCCCCGCCCCGAGTCTCCCCCCCGAGTCTCCCCCCCGAGTCTCCCCCCCGGTCTCCGCCCGAGTCTCCCCCCCGAGTCTCCCCCCCGAGTCTCCGCCCCGAGTCTCCCCCCGAGTCTCCCCCCCGGTCTCCCCCCCGAGTCTCCGCCGAGTCTCCGCCGGTCTCCGCCGAGTCTCCGCCGAGTCTCCCCCCCGAGTCTCCCCCCCGAGTCTCCCCCCCGAGTCTCCGCCGAGTCTCCCCCCCGAGTCTCCGCCGAGTCTCCGCCGAGTCTCCGCCGAGTCTCCGCCGAGTCTCCCCGAGTCTCCCCCCCGAGTCTCCGCCGAGTCTCCCCCGAGTCTCCGCCGAGTCTCCGCCGAGTCTCCGCCGAGTCTCCCCCCGAGTCTCCGCCGAGTCCCCCCGAGTCCCGCCGAGTCTCCCCCCGAGTCTCCGCCGAGTCTCCGCCGAGTCTCCCCCCCGAGTCTCCCCCCCGAGTCTCCGCCGAGTCTCCCCGAGTCTCCGCCCCCCGGGAGTCTCCGCCGAGTGTTAACCAAAGGTAAAATGTGTCAAATGATAGAGTGGTTAGGCTTAACTGCAATGTAATTGTTGAGTGTATTGTCTATGTCAATTTATTAGTTGTAAGTAAACAATCTATATCTGAAGGGGAAGTGTTAGAAAGTTGATTTTAATGTCAGATATAGATTTATCTTATGTTATTCTTCATTTTTGTTTTTCTTCTTAATTACTTATTCTTTTGTTCCTGCGCCCTCTAAATTATTTCATGATTGTTCTCCTGTACTGTTTCCGTTTCCATGTATCTGTTGTAATAAAAGATTCTACCAGCGCACGACTCGTGTCTTACTTGTTCATCGGTGTGGATCCAAGAAACCAGAAATTAATCCCAAATACCAGTTAATCTAACAGACTTCAGGCTCAATCCATCCACAGCCTCCTTGCTGGGCGCTTCGTGCGTGTAGAAGCCCACAAGTTCTTTGCCGATTGGCAAGGGCAAGCCGTGGCAGCCCTTTGCGCAGTGCTCGCACCGCCCCTCCTCCCCGCACCACATGATTCCCACGACCAGGTAGAAGTGGCGGTAGCTGGCGAGGATGCGGCACACGTCTGGCTCGTGCAGGGCGCCGTGCGCGCACTTGACCATACAGGAGGGTAAGCTAAGGCCGCGAAGACGGGGCGCACTGCCGGGGTTGATGGCGGGCAGGACGCGCCGGGGCACAACGTGGGGCAGGACGAGCCACTCCAGGGCGGGCAGTCCGGGCAGAGCCGAGGCCAGCTCCGTCACCCGGCGGTCGTTGCGGAAATCCCCCCAATTGAGGACCAGCTTCCGCAGGGAGGCGCGGCCCGAGGACGCCAGCGCCGGCAGCAGCCCCTGCTCCACGGGAACGTCTACGTCTACATTACAGTCTTCTATAATTTGGTACTGGAGCACGAGTTCCTCGAGGTGCGTGGCGGCGCGCAGGAAGGCCGCCGCGGCCAGGGACTCAGCATTGTAGGGGCATTCATCCACGGTCAGATTGAGGGAGCGCAGCGACGCGCACTTCGCCACCAGCGGCAGGTCCTTCAGCCCGGGGATGGCGGCCAGCGGACAGGACAGTACCAGAGTCCTCAGCGTCCCCAGCGCCGCCTGTTGCGGAGCGCGAGTTTGGCCGCTTCCCACCCCGCGGGCTTGTGGCCCACGTCGAGGATCAGCTCGGCCGCCGCGCATCTGGTCGTGGCGGCCAGCGTGCCGAGCGCGTGGCTGCCGCCTGCAACCCGCATGGACATGGTGGAGAGACACGGCGCCACGCGCAGGACGGCGGCTTCGAGGCTTCTGGTGGAGGCATTATACTCGATGTCAATGCTGCGTCGCCGCCACAGCTCCGGCCGAAGAGCGACGTCCCGCAAACGAAGGCACACCGCCCGGCACGACAGCAGGTCTGGCGTGCTCACGTACTCCAGCACGCTCAGCAGGTCGTCGTCCGGCAGCGACAGCAGCGACGTCTGCGCAGAGTTAGAAGGGAGAGGTAGAGAAACGTTAACGCTAACATGAAAGCAGATGATACTCTGCAAACTGAAGTGTGTACATAGTACACTCTTATTAGAGCATACTTCCAAGTACACTCTTATTTACAGCATACATGCTAGGCACACGCTAAAATAGAGTGTGCCTGGCAAGTACACGCTAAATAAGTGTGTACCTTGCAAGTACACGCTAAAATACAGTCGATTAGTCCTATCTAAAAGCATGGGCTAGTTTAAGTGTACTTTCCAGGTACACTCTTATTTAGCGTGTGCCTAGCAAGTATGCTGTAAATAAGAGTGTACTTGGAAGTATGCTCCAATAAGAGTGTACTATGTACACACTTCAGTTTGCAGAGTACTAATGAGAATGTTTACTTAAATATACGGTGGGGGCATTCCACGTCAAACCATCATGGTCCGAAACGCACTTGCTCAGATCCGGCTCCCAATTTTTTACCTCACTCAAGGACCACTCACATAAATTTTTTTGAAAAAAAAAAATTCAGAACTTTGGCCGTGGAGAATTTTTGAAATTTCAAATAAAATTTCAAAACTTTTTTTTTAGTTTTTTAAAAATTGTGTCTTTAGGCGATCAAACTCGCGACGCTCGCGTGGTGACCAGAGGCAAGTTTTCTAAGGAAGTAAATGTACTGCTTTTTTGGGGGGGTCTAATTTAACTGCTTTTGACCATATAATTAAGCTACTACAAGGTAGGTTTACGCCAGACCGCGTCTTGTCGTAACAGGCTTCGCGATGTCTCGCGGCCAGTTCCTCCAATCCGCGCCTGGCGTACCTACCTTGGCCTGCGGCGCTAGCCTGCCTTCGGCAGGCATTGGCTTGTCCATTGTCGGATACTTCTTACGTGTTGCATGCTGGGGGGCTCCGCCCCCCAGACCCCCCTTAATTCTAGGTAGAGTTGCTTCATGTAAAGATAACACGATCTTGACCGTTGTCACTTTTTAACTTGACGAGGCTGGGGGGCTCCGCCCCCCAGACCCCCCTTTCTTCAAGACAGAGGTGATCTACCTGCAGAAAACTCGATTTTTCGCCGTTTTTTAGGTGTTTTTCGGCTATAAAAACTGAACCAGTTGAGGTAGGATCGTGAAATTTCGCGTGTGCCGAGCCAAGAACATACCTAATAAGCCTGCAAAATCTCAGCCAGATCGGCCGAGCCGTTCAGGAGGAGTAGTGTACACACACACACACACACACAGACACACACACAGACAGACAGACAGACAAAACTTTTCAACCGCACTGGAGTAACGGGCTTCGCTATCGCTCAGCCAATTACTGCCCAAATAGATAGCTTGTATTGCATTGGCTACTGTGGCAGTCAATGGGTGCATACAAGGTCTGGGAAATATTGAAGACTGCTTTGACAAGGATAAGATCTGTGTTCATTATGGTCAATGTGCCGACCCCCATGAATCTACCCCATCAATGGCTTCAACCCGAGTCTTCAGCTGAACTACTACCTGCTGCTCCAATGGTTGATAAGCGATTTACTTGCTTACAAGCACTCCACAATCCTCCAGTGAGTTACTTACAGCTTGTTTCTTATTTAAGCACTAAGACAAGGTAGGTTTACGCCAGACCGCGTCTTGTCGTAACAGGCTTCGCGATGTCTCGCTGCCTGTTCCTCCAATCCACGCCTGGCGTACCTACCTTGGCCTGCGGCGCTAGCCTGCCTGCGGCAGGCAATGGCTTGTCCGTTGTCGGTTTTTTTTTAACTTGTTGAATGGTGGGGGGCTCCGCCCCCCAGACCCCCCTACATTCTAAAAAGAGTTGTTTTATCTATAGATAACACGATCTTGACCCTTGTCACTTTTTAACTTGTCAAGGCTGGGGGGCTCCGCCCCCAGACCCCCCTTTCTCCAGGCCGGAAGTGCTCTTTCTGCGGAAAGCTCTATTTTTCGCCGTTTTTAGGTGTTTTTCGGCTATAAAAACTGAACCAGTAGAGCTAGGATGGTGAAATTTCGCGTGTGCCGAGCCAAGGACATACCCAAGAAGTGTGCAAAATCTCACCGAGATCGGCTAAGCCGTTCAGGAGGAGTAGTGCACACAGACAGACAGACAGACAGACAGACAGACAGACATGAAAAACTTTTCAACCCCACTGGAGTAACAGGCTTCGCTATCGCTCAGCCAATTAACTATACTTATTCTTTTATTTCCCTTTTTTTACTTTTTTAATTTTTAAATGTAGAGACCCTGGATCTTTGGTTATCAACTTATTGGTGATAGTATGCTTCTCCGCTTTTCACAACAAATACTGCGACAACCTCCAATTCTTAGTGGTAATGTACTTTTTTGAAGTTAATTTGGTTACATGTTATTAATTATACATATCAAACTTGACATTCCTTTATTTTAATTTTTACAGAGAGCATACGGTTTTTAGGATACTGTGTGAGTGGCCAGAGAATTGGAGATCTATTGAAACGCTTAAAATCAGGGTTTTATCACATAGGAAGTAACGTAGTTCTTATGATCGGAACAAATGACCTTGTCAAAGTATGTATTCGCTCCTTGTTTTCTTTATTTTCCTGTTTTTGCCATAGAAGTTGTCTCATTTATTTTGTTTTTGTCTGTTGTTGGGACAGAATTGTCAAGCTGAGCAAATGATACATGAATTGCGTCGAGTTCTGGATTATTTGTGTACCAAGGCTGAGAAAATAGTAGTCCTAACATTACCGCCTGTTCCTCTCCATGAGCATTATACCCACCACTGGACAAGGTTGAATAAGTACAACGACTTTATCAGGACACTAAACAATGCTGGTAAGCACTATGCTTCATGTAAATCACCCTGTGCCACTGGATAGGATAGGATAGGATACTGTGTAAATCACTTACTTGTCTTGTAGCGCCAACAGGTGAATTCTGAAGAGATGAATCCACGGGCTCCATGACCAAGCTGTCAAAGATGTTGTCAAAACTTGGTTTGCTCTAACTCTTGTGGTATTGACTTGGAATGTCTAGTCAAAACACTTAATAACCTCCAATGCTCACACTACCTCCGGTAAAGGCCTGTATGGTAAAAGACCCGCAAACTGACGACTCGGCTCGCCACGGCTCGGCCCGCCACCCCAAAATGGCGACGCTTCCCCTCCCTCTGCCCCACGCCCCACACCCGCGCCCCGGTCCCCCCTGCAGTCTGCATACAGGCCTGCGGGCCTGCGTATGCATTTCGCGCTGGCCAACGTCTATTCATGTCCAGTATGTGTCTGTGCTGAAATTTCTGTATACTGGGCGTGAAAAGAAAAAAAAAGTACGTAAATTCTGTGGTTTTTTAGGCACGAAGTAGCCTTATAGTATACCCAGGATTCAGCCGGCCCGAGATTCAATTTGTGTGGCCCTTTATGCATTTCGGAAATTTTCTATACGATTTTAATGAGATTTTGCAGACTTGTAGAACTTTGAACGCTGATTCTCATGCTGAAATCTGGTTAAAAAGTTAACGGCCAATTTTGAGAAATTTGCTGTCAAAATCGCCGTTTCCATGGCAAAACTCGACTCGTCAAAGGAAAAAAAATTCCAATGCTATCGCATTGCACGGTGTTCCGGTTGTGGAAATCAATTTGGAGTCTGTCGTCTAAACGTTAATTACGTTAATTTTACCGTTGTTTACGTAACTTTGAATCCTACCGGTATTTTTACATCCCAAACCTGATTCAGTTAACACAATGGCCATCTCAGGCCATCTCGCGATCTCGCGACTTACAGTGCTCATGTTCGCCAAACGAAAGTCATCTGCGTTCCGAGTTTATATAATTTGTCAAACCAACCGTCGTGCTGATTACAGAATTGAGGAAAACATCACAAGAGAACCGCAACCTTTAAAAGCAAGCCAAACAATCCAACCTCAGCAACAATGGAGGGGCAGTTTCAATGCGCGACTACTCGTTTTTTCAGCCCCGCGATTTTCGAAAGGGCGCAGACGCCGACAAAATTGTAGCCAACCCCCGAAAATTAATTTATTGCGTCTTTTCTGCTACGAACTTTTTACTGACAGACTTCAAAGATGTTCCAATGTCGCGACACGGTGCAATGCGTTAGCATTGGCATTTTCGAATTTCGCGGCGTTTCGATTTCTTTTTATCAGCGACTTTAAATTTTGACAGTTGGTACGATGGCACTGTGTCGTTGCCATGGAGACTTTTTTTCATGTTTTAACCATTTTCTTAGAACACAGACGATTTTTTGTCACTTTGATGAGTCAGGATGCTTAGTTTTGGGGAGTAGCACATTTTGTCTTTGAAACGTTTCTGGAAAATGTGAAGGGATAAGGGTGCTTCATTGTTGCAAATTTATGTTTTTGTCGTTTACGTTAAATTCTTACGATAAATTTTCGAAATTTTCAGGAATTTTTATTTTTTTACGATAAGGAATAATATGGCGGAAACCATTTTTAGATTGGCGTCGGCGGAAGAAAAAAATTTTTCCGTCCCGGGCAATAGGGGTCCTCCTTCGTCGGAACCCCTAAAAAGGGAGTGGGGGGAGCCCGAGCCGGGGCGGACCAATAGCCGAGCTTCTTTTTGGGTCTGTACAGCTTACTCCAAAAGCTGAAATAGCACGTCCGAAGTGAAAAATTTCTTTGACTGCAGGTAGACAAGATGCAACAATAGAATTGGTGTCGGTTCGAACGCAGTTTTTCGGGTAGAACTATCCAATAATACTTCTTGATCGGAGTGTTTTCGGACATGCGCAGTAGGTTTGCAACCTGTTTAACAGTTTAACCAACTGTAGCATTTGAAATCTGTATTAATTTTGCTCTCTTTCTTGTTTTTTCTTTGTTTCCTGCTTATGAAAATTCACATAAAACAAATTTTCAATTTTTATGTGATAACTTTCTAAAAAAATATTCACAGAAAATTAGCAAAACAAAAGTTCTTTTTTTCTGACGTAAAGTTTCTCAAATATTACTTTTTTTTCTGTCAATAAAACAATTTTGTTGTTGTTGTGGTTCAGTTAGCACTAGGACCACTTCGCTCCACCTCGCGACTTGCAGTGCTCATGTTCCTCGAACAAGACTCACCCGCGTTTCGAAACCATCCCTCCCGAGTTTATGAAGTTTGTCAAACCAACCGTCGTGGTGTTGATGCGTTGTGAGGGAGTACTATTACACAGAATTGAAGAAAACATAACTAGAGAACCATAGCCTTTTGAAACAAGCCAAACAATTCAACGTCAGCAACAATGGAGGGGCAGTTTTAATGCGCGACTGCTGGTGCTTTCAGCTTCGCGATTTTCGCAAGGGCGCAGACGCCGAGAAACTAGTTGCCAACCCGTGAAAATTAATTTACTGCCTTATTTCTGCTAAGAACATTTTAATAATGATGGACTAAAGATGTTCCATTGTCAGAACACTGCGGAATACATTAGCATTGGAATTTTTTGAATTTACCAGCATTTTGATTTCTATTTATTGTCAAGTTTAAATTTCGACGGGCGCACATCGACCACATTGGTACCACTGCCATTGGTAGTCCCCTGAGCCACAACTTCAACACCACCCACCACTTCTTTTCTTTCTCCACACTCTTACACAATAATCAAATTGACTTCGTGACTCCTAGGATTTCTTGAAATCGTATTTTTAATTCTTCCGGAGCGACTGTGCGCGTTGCTGGACCAATTGCTGTTCACTCCTGGTGAGTCGCGAAATCCGTTGCATGTAACGCAGGCTCCTAGAAAACGCACAGTGGGCCAGAAGACCGGTGGGGGCGACCAAAATTCTGGACGCGTGTTGAGCTCCGGAGTCGCTAAACAGGACTCGAGCCGAACGGGTGACCCCACCAATGGATTCCTCGTTCGGAGAGCAATCCATTGGTGGGGTCACACGTTCGTTTTGGGTCCCATTTAGCGACGGTGGAGCGTCTAGAATTTTGCCGCCTCCACCGGTCTTCTGGCCCGTTGTGAAAGATCTTACGAAGGTCCGGTCAACACGCGTTAGCTTGGAAAAATCTCCTATAGCATTCTTAGGCGATGCACTGATTTATACTGACCCGTCTTCGAGGGGGGAACACCTTCCCACATTCATTGTACAAAATTTGACCACATTCCACATTCAGGTGGCAAAATCGCCTGTAAGTAGGCAACATGTGTGGCGAAAACGCCAGATATCTTACACATTCTTGCACATTCACACAATAATTGTACGCCAAATTTTACAGTGGCTCACCCCTCGCCCGTCTTTGTCCAGGACTGGAGGCGATGGACGTGGCCGGCAACCCGTACGACGGCGTGAACGTGCCGCTGCCGGCGCCTCCCCTCCTGACGAAAGGCAGTGCCTCCATGTCCATGTCCATGCCGGCGTCGCTTCGTCGGGTGCGATTCGATTACTACAACAGCATCCTGGACTCCCACCTGCACCTCATCCTGCAGTGGCATGCGGCCACACTGGAGGTGCGTTGACTTATCCGGGAGAGCACTGCACAGTGGGCCAGAAGACCGGTGGAGGCGGCCAAAACTCTAGCCACGTTTTGAGCTCCAGAGTCGCTAAATGGGACTCGAACCGAACGTGTGACCCCACCAATGGATTGCTCTCCGAACGAGGTATCCATTGGTGGGGTCACGTTCGGTTCGAGTCCCATTTAGCGGCTCTGGAGCTCAAGGCGCGTCTAGAGTTTCGGCCGCCCACACCGGTCTTCTGGCCCACTGTGCACTGGCAGTAGCTCGATGTGCACTGACTGACGACTGTCCCTTCTGTCTGCCAGGACGTGTGCATCATGGGGGACACTCCGCGCGCGGCGACCCTGCTGTCCGCGCTGCCCGCGCTGCACACGCTCAAGTGCCCTCTGCTGAAGGGCATGCTGGCGCTGCTGCAGTGCCCCAGCCTCAAGAAGCTGGCCCTCATCCTGGACCTCAACGCGTGGACGCGGCCGCTGATGTCCGAGGCGGAGGAGCTGGTGCGCAGGGCGGCGACGCGCCTGGAGGAGCTGACGCTGGACTACAACCAGGAGAAGAACCCGGCCGCCGAGGCCGTGAACCTGGTGCTGTGCCTGGGCGCGGACGCGGCGCCCACGTCGCTGCGCAGCCTCGCCTTCGTCCTGGCCGACAGCGACGTGCCCCCGCCGGTGCTGCCGCCACTGGCCGCCGTCCTGCACCGCCTGCCGCTCCTCACCAGCCTGGACGTCAACTGCAAGCCCCCGGACGCCTTCCTGCGCGCGCTGGACGGCAAGGTGGTGCCGGCGCTCACCAAGCTCGAGGTCTGGCTCAAGGACGACGAGGACGAGTGGCTGGACAGCGAGCCGGTCCAGACGGTCTACGAGAGGTACCCGGAGCTGGAATTTTGGATCTGAGCGCGGGCTTGCCTCGCGGTTTGCATGCCTGGAACGCTCAGTGGGCCAGAAGACCGGTGAAGGCGGTCAAAATCCCGGAGGCGTTTTGAACTCCAGAGTCGTTAAATGGGACTTGAACCAAACGTGTGACCCCACCAATGGATTGCTCGTTCGGCGGGCAATCCGGTGGTGGGGTCAGTGGCTCGGTTCGAGTCCTGTTAAGTGACTCTTGAGCTCTAAACGCGTTCAGAGTTTCGGTCGCCTGCACCGGTCTCCAGACCCAATGTCGAACGCATTGCGATTCAACTTCATTTGTGCCAAAAAAATGTTTGCAATAAAATTGTCTTTGGCACTATTTTTGGACTTTTTTTTAACCCCGAGGTTGAACACAGTTTAAACAGCGGTACGCTGTCAAATGTAGAGTCGCAGAGCTCCGAAGCTTCTTCGTGAAATTCGAACCGGACGTGTGACCCCACCAATGGATTCCTCTTTCGGAGAGCAATCCATTGGTGGGGTCACACGCTCTGTTCGAGTCTCATTTAGCGACTCTGACGTCGAGACCCGTCTAGAATTTTGGCCGCGTCCACCGGCCTTCTGGCCCACTGTGCGCTTGCGAGTCGCCTGCGAGCGTCGGGTCGAGTCGTCACAGAGCGCCCGACCACGGGAGGATAGGCAACCCCACGTACTCGCATGCTCTACGGGCCCATTAACATTACCATTAAGGGCTAGAGCCCGCCTGCACTGCAAAACGAGACATGGCCGTCCTTACTAAGGTGGCTGCGGGAGCGGAGGTGGGCTTGGCGAGCGAGGTGGAACGCGATGCGCTCGGAGGCGCGTTGGCTGTGGTCTTGGGGGCGGCCTTCGGGCTGGCCCTCGGGGTGGACTTCCTAGAGGACGACGCCTTGCCCTCGACGGCTGCAACGAGCACTGCGGAACACTTGGGTCAGCGTCACCAGAAAATGAAGTACCTGCACCACACAGTGGGCCAGAAGACCGGTGGAGGCGGCGAAAACTCTAGACGCGTTTTGAGCTCAGAGTCGCTAAACAGGACTCGAACCGAACGTGTGACCCCACCAATGGATTGCTCTCCGGCAGCGGAGCGCGGACTCACCCATGCCGCAGCACAGCAGGCACAAGGACTTGAAGGACTTCCCCATGGCTTGCCGACTCGGCCGCGAAGGCCGCCGCCACTGCACTGCACGGAGTCCCGCGAGCCCGAGCGGCGGTCTGCACTGCCAGCCGCGACCACGCCGTCAACGCCAACCTCGCCGTCGACGTCTACCTCGCGTCTCCCTCGCGCTGCCGCCAAAAACGGAGCGCGGCCGTCGCGGCCGTCGCGGGCACGACAGGAGTGGGGGGTTCGCGTACAGTGGTGGCACACCAGCAGTGGCAGTGATACTGGGTACACGGCTTGGGAAGCAGGGGAAGAAAAAGACGTCATGCTGTACTTTTTTTCACAGAGGTCATCATTTAATTCACAAACTTCAGAGAGAACAGCTGGACATACAATTTCATCAGTATGGTGTCGCAATTTGGAACTATGCCATTGACTAGGAGGGAACAATTATTTTCACCTACGAACCATAGGGTACAAACAGATTATAGACAGTGAATATTGATTTTAATGTGGAGACAACTTGGTTTCAATACAGAAGTCTTCTGAACGATTCTACTGTAAAGCTACCTCTAATGTTGCATCGTGCTCTATTAATGTAAAATAAAAGTATATGCTGCAAAGTCCACAATTTGTAACAAACAAATCAAGGGAGAGGACTCAGAGCTCTTCGTTTTCTGGTCAGAGTATAGACGCGTGCAGAGCTCCAGAGTCGGTAAACAGGACTCGAACCGAGCGTGTGACCCTCGCTCTCCGAACGAGGAATCCATAGGTGGGGTCACACGTTCGGTTCGAGTCCTGTTTACCGACTCTGGAGCCGGAGCTCGAAACGGGTCTAGAGTTTTGGCCGCCTCCACCGGTCTTCTGGCCCACTGTGCTTGTGGGTGCAAACGAGCGGACTCGTCTGGTTAGGTTCTCCGACATGCGCGGCGAGTGCTGAGTCTTCCAGTCACTGCCACGGCCGGCCACGGCAATGGGGAATGGTGGTGGTGGAGTGGCGTGGACGCGGCCGGCCGGGCCAGCGTCAAGCCCACCAAGCGCCGGGCCTTTATCGTAATACCTGCCGGACCGTATCTTAAATCGTATATTGTCATGAGATCACGACAAACTGAAAATCGTTCCTCCAACATGAGGATGCCGGTTACTTATTTTTAGAAAACAGCCTCAAAGCTTCAACACCAAAGGGTACTGAGATTGCGTCGCATTCTACTGACATTCCTTTTGTTGATCTCAGTTTTGTTTGCTCAATGTGTTTTGAAGGACAGTTTTATTATGTTTTTTGTGTTCATCTCACTGCTTTCAATTTGAGTACAATGTTTGTATAGACTTTATTTATTGAAACCGCGACCTCGCCGTCGACGACGCCCTCCATGAACGGCATCGCGGCGCCGCGCGCCAAGCGCATCTCCCGCGTCGAGTCGCTGCGCAACCTGTTCGCGCGCTCACATTGGTGCGGTCACACGTTCGGTCCGAGTCCTGTTTAGGGATTCTTGAGCTACGCGTCCAGAGGTTTGGCCGCCTCCACGGGTCTTCTAGCCCACCGTACCGTGCGGCGCGTGCAGTGTACCCACCTGTCGCAGGCCAGGGACTGCGGCCGCCGGCTGCCCAGGATGCCGAGGGTCTTGACGTCGCCGTCCTCCGGGGAGAAGTCGCTGCCGGGCGAGACGGCCGGCTGGCCCTCCAGGAAGACGTCGTCCTCCACGACCGAGTCCACCACGGAGGACGTGTTGGACACGCTGCGGCTGGCGGGCGGCCTCGGCCTGGACGTCGTGGAGGCCGCGGCCGAGGCCGACCGGATGGAGCCCCTCGGCGACTCGGAGCCGTTGCGCGTCGAGTCGCTCTCGTAGCCGCTCTCGTCCGACTTGACGAGCAGCAGGTTGTTGAGGAACACGCACAGGTCGTCGACGGACAGCTGCGGCTGCGCGGCGGCGTGGCCGTTGGCGTGCCCGTTGGCCGCCCCGCCGGGGTGCAGCAGGTTCTCGCAGCTGGAGGAGCTGGTCCTGAGGCGGCCGGCCAGCCCTGGCGCCGGCGCGGACCCGGGGCCATGCCCGGGGCACTCGGTGACGGAGTTGTGGCGCCGCTTGTGCGTCGACGTCCGGTCCGACGCCGCGCTGTTGCTCCGCTCCGGCGTCCGGCCGCCCGACGCGGGCGTCTCCTCCGCCAGCACGGACAGGCGGTTGAAAGTAGGTCACGGGTACAGTCGGGTTCAAAACGAGCTGTCTGTCTATAAATCAATGCCTATGGAGTCTCGCTGCGCCTCCGCGCCTCCGCGTGCCCAGGGCCCAGGGCCCAGGCGGCCGGGCCTCGCCGGGCCTCGCGAGGCCCTGCCCGAAATAAACCCAAATGGATGGGTATCGTTGCCATCCTCGCCCGCGACCGTCTCGGTCTCGTCAGCGGGGTGCCAGACTGCCAGGCCTTGGCTGCCTTGGCCAGGCCAGCTACTACTGCACTGCCACACCCGGCCAGACAGTGGAGGAGGCGACCTGAACCTCGCCGCTCTTCATCGTGCGAGTACCACCCCAGAAAGTACGGGTGATCCTGGTTTTGGGGTGTGGGCGCGAGGGGGCCGGCCTGCCAAGCCATGGCCTGGCCGGGTCTCGGGCCGGGTCTCGGGCCGGGTCGGCGCGCGCGGGCGCAGTCCCCGTCCCCGTCATGCGAGGCGCATGCCATTTATGGGCGAAGTTGGCCAAGATTCGCGTACGCCCAGACCAATACCCCGCACAGTGGGCCACAAGACCGGAGGAGGCGGCCAAAACTCTAGACGCGTTTTGAGCTTCAGAGTCGCTAAACAGGACTCGAACCGAACGTGTGACCCCACCAATGGATTCCTCGTTCGGAGAGCAATCCATTGGTGGGGTCACACGTTCCGAGCGACTCTGGAGCTCAAAACGTGTCCGGGGTCTTGGCCGCCTCACCCGGACTTGTGGCCCACCGTGCGGCCGAGTCTCTTGATTATAACTCGCTCGTTTGCCCACGACGCGGAAGGGAGAGAGAGACAGACAGGTCGAAAACGAGACGCAACGGTATCGACCACGCGGGCGCGCCGGGCGCTTGGCAAGGGTGCGGTGTGTCTACGTGTATACACGGCAGCGTGTGGAATCCTTCCGTTTTATCAACATTTTCAGGAGCCCTCCCGGCAGGGGTCGTTCCACGTGAGTTCCCCGTGAGTGACAGCGCCGCTGCCTACACGCACAGACAGCGGCGCCCCCCTACGCCCCCCCCACGCCCCGCCAGGTGCGAGAGAGACAGAGACAGACAGCCGAGCCCCCACGCCCTTTTCCATTAGGACGCCTGCCTCTCTCTTTCCTTCCCGGAGCCTTGGCGGAGCCTTGGCGGAGCCTTGGCGGAGCCTTGGCGGAGCACAGTGGGCCAGAGGACCGGCGGAGGCGGCCAAAACTCTAGACGCGTTTTGAGCTTCAGAGTCGCTAAATGGGACTCGAATCGAACGTGTGACCCCACCAATGGATTGCTCTCCGAACGAGGAATCCATCGGTGGGGTCGCACGTTCGGTATGAGTCCCATTCAGCGACTCTGGAGCTCAAAACGCGTCTGGAGTTTTGGCCGCCTCCGCTGGTTTCTGGCCCACTGTGCGGAGCCTTGCCCAACAGTGCCCCTGTCTCTCTCGCTCTCACGGGGCGCCCCGTCCGGTCCCGTCGGCGCGAGAGGGACAGACGGCCTTGCTCAGGGCCGCACCGCCGCGGGGCGCGGCCGCGGGGCGCGGGGCACATCACTCAGTCCTTCTTCCGCGTCAAAACGGCGGGGCCGCGCGCCGCGCGTGACCGCCGAGGCCGGCCGCACTTTTCGTTTATTTTTATCAAGTTGACTCTATTTAATTTTCTTGGCGACAGTCCCAGTTTATTTGGCGCTGGTTTGAGAAACGCATCCGAGAGTTAAGTCCCCACGGGGA